AAAGCTTACATAGTTGGCTATTAACATTTTAAATTTCCTGCATTTTCTACGTTCGTATACTTTGAGCACATGATATCTCTCATAAGCTTGGTAGGAAGGTTTCTACTAAACACTATAAAATTATATTAATTTGAGAGCTTTATGTGTATAAACACATGACCATATTCCCTACATATGCAAGCACTACAGACTGTTTAATAAACAGTTGCCATGTAATAATTTATTTTTGAAGACTCCAAACCTATGAAACAAATTCCATTTAAAATAACACAGAAAAAATAAAATCCTTAGTAATAAATTTAACTAAGGAGGTGAATCATTTCTACACATAAAATTACAAGACACTGAGGAAAGAAATTAAGGAAAACACAAATAAATGGAAATACACTCTGAGTTTCTGGGTTGGAAGAATCAGTAGTGTTAAAGTGTCCATATTACCCAAAGCAACCTACAAATCCAAAGTAATCCCTACTGCAGTTTTCATAACATGTTGTCACAGAAATAAGAAAAATCTTAAAATTCATATGGAACCACAAAGATCCTGCATAGCTAAAGCAATCTTAAGAAAAACAAACCTGGAGGAATCACACTACTTGATTTGAAAGCACATTGTAAAGCTACAGTAATTAAAATACATGGTACTTTCATCAAAACTGATAAGTAGAACAATGGAACAGAATAGAGAGCCCAGAAATAAACCCACAACACACATTCAACTAATCTTTAACAAAACATCAAGAATATCTGACAGGGAAAGGATGATATCTGCAATAAATGGCTTTGGGAAAACTTAGTATTCTCGTACAGGAGAACAAAATTGAACATTATCTTACACCACACACACACACACAAATCAACTAACAGGTAAAAACTTAAATGTAAAATCTGAAACTTGAAAGAACCTAAGGGCAATATATTGGTCTTGCCAATAATTTTTTGGGGTGTGACACTAAAAGCACAGGAAAGCAAAGGTAGCCAAATGGGACTACCTCAAAGTAAAGCCCCTACCTGGCAAAGGAAACCATCAACAGGATGGAAAGGTGATCATAACATGGGAAAAATACTTACAAACCACAGATCTGGTGAGTGACTAATAGCCAAAATATATTAGAAGCTGATACAACTCAACAGCAAAGCACAGCCCCACCCAAATAGACATTTTATCCAAGAAGAAAACATGACCAACCAGCATACAGAAAGGTGCTCAGAAATGACATCAGAACTGCAAAGAGATAATACGCCACCCCTGCTAGCATGGCTATTATCATAAAGTCAAATGACAAGAATTGTCAAGGACATAGGAAAACTTAAAGCCCTGTACACTGTTGATGGGAGTGTAAACTAATGCACTTATTTTGGAAGACAATATAGAGGTTCTTCAGAAAATACCACATGATCCAGTAATCTCACTTCTGGGAACATGTACACAGGAAATGAAGTCAGAGCTTCTAGGAGATATCTCCATCTCTTGTTAATTGCAGACTTTCTTATGATAGAATCATTGTAATGTCTGGCAGCCGATGTGTATACAAAGCAAATGCAGTGTATATATCTACAATGGAACATTACTTGGCCTTAAAAAAGAAAGAAATCTTGCCACTTGTGACAAAAAGACAGTTATAGAAAAGATAAATATTGTATAATAACACATATACGTGGAATCTAAAGAAATTAAAGTCAATGAAACAGAGCACAGGGTGAAAGAAATGGAGGATTTAGGTCAGGGTACAAATTTACAGCTATGATATAAATACTGGAGATCTAATGGTGGCTTGGTATATTTAATGATAATGTACTGTATATTTGAAATTAGCTAAAGACTACATATTGAGTGTTCTCATCACAAAAACAGTAACTGTGAGGCAATGAATACATTAATTAGCTTGATTATGGTAATAATTTCATAAAGTCACTATAATACTTATTTGTCAACTATACCTCAATAAAGCTGTAGGAAAATAAGAGTGCAAAACTTGTAGCACAGAATCATTGTATTAAAATCCACTGAAGAGAGTGAAACAACTGTAGAAACAAACAGAATTTTAACTAGTATATAATACACAGAATGGTCCATTTTGCATTCTTATTGCTAGTAGGATATATGATACTCAACAACTGGTTTTGCTTTCATTCAGGGGTCAGTTTCAAACAGCACTTGGATAGGTTGTGCCTTTGAGGACGTCAGAACCAAGTGCAGAGGGAAGGCTTATGTGAAGTTCAATCACACATCACTTCACACATCTGCCTGCTACTCATGTCCATATCTCTTACTGAGTGGACTCAAAACTCCTCAAATGCAGGTTCTGTTTCCAACTCATTGTCATTATTTCCAATGCCTCGTACAGAGCTTGATATACAGACTGGACTCCCTCAATGCTTGCTGAATTAAAATGAACTATTTTGGACGTATTCTGGGAAAAGAACCAGTATTTACTGGGTGACTTATGCAGTGCCAGACACATGCAACATGCTACCTCTTCAAGGCTCAGAGCAGCCCCATGAAAGTGGCATACGCATTCCCACTGTGGAGCTGAGATGCCAATCTAGATGAGGCAGGTAACCTGTCAAAGAGGGCCCATGACATTTCAAAGTCCATGTTTGATACTGCCCGTAATAATATCCCTCCCTGTTGTGAGGATGAGATAAATTATATGGGAAACGTCCCAGACTGTTCCCAGAACATAAGTAACACACACACACACACACACACACACACACACACACCTTTGCCATTCCTATTACTGTGGTGCTTCTCAGAGAAGACAATAAAAGAATGTTGATTTTTTCTTATGTCACACTTAATAAAATGACATTGGTATTCAAAAAACAAGAAACTCACACTTACTTTAGATGAGTTGTTTCTTGACATACTCAGTAGGATAACAAAATACTCCTTTTGGGTTGGTTTACTTTAACCCAGAGGGCCAGTAGGTCCTCAGTGGGCAGCTATATGCAGTTAGAATCTGTATGTCATGATTTCTTCCAGCCTAGAGTTGGGAACAGCTGCAGCTTGATGCCCCTGTTGGATTTCATGGGAATTTGCCCAGTTTCCATGGTGGACTTTGTCCAACACTGAATAGAGTTCTCCATCCTAATACTTGGCCAGCTCAGTGTCCTGAATTCCCTTCACCACGTGTGTAGCCACAATGTCACCTGGAAACTGAACAAGGTGGCAGCGGGGAGGTGAAGGCCACAGCTCTCACACGCACAGTTCTGAAATGCACGCAGACTGCTAGGATGCCCAGGGCAGCTCTCAGGGTAGGGAATTGTCCTGATTCTGACAGGGTCTTCACCTATGCCCCATCACCCCCGCTAACACTGACTCAGCCCCCTGACATGTGTAACAGTGTTCTACCCCCACCCCCGCAACACACACATGGCTGTACTCTCTGAGAGTTCTCCATTTCCAGGAACTGGATTCAGGCTCCAGGGATGTGTTTCTATAAATGACAGATCCAAAAAGTTTTATTCATTCTCACTGAGTTGTTGACCAGCCTGAGCCTCCTGCACAGAGTACAGAAAAGCACTCGATGGCAACTTGCCCTGGTATAACTTTGGGAAAGTTGGACAGACCTGAGCCAGTTCCCTGGTCCCCACCAGGAGAATCGCTGGTCACTCTAGAGGTAGAGGGAAATTGCAGGTCAGGGTTGGGTCCTCCCTCCTTCCTAACTTGGGGAGTTTCTTCTGATCAACTATCTATTCCCCCAAGACTGCATCCTGCCAGTGACCTCACAAATTTTTCTTGTCTTTATGTAAATTGCTATCTTTTAGGAGGTGCCTGACAGCCAAGTTTGCAGGGCCTCCATTTGTACGGAAGCTGTTATTACGGAATAAGTTTAATGGGTCGTGAATTTTGCGGAGAAAGGGAGGGTCTCTGGATGACTTTGTATGTACCAGCCACCGACCTATTGGTTTCAGAAGGAATGCATTAGGCTAAATATATTTAGCCCATTGACTGTGGAGGTAATAACCCTAAATGCTTCATTAAGTTTTTATGGGTGAACAACGGAAGCCCTGAAGGAAAAAAAAAAAAAAAACCCAAACCAAAAACCAAGTCCACTACATTAGCATTATTAGGACACAGCTGGAGGACAGGACAGTAGCCCCTGAGAAGAATAAAAGAAACTTTTAAAGAACTATTGCCCTTTTCGTCCTTCCTCTACTTGGGACAACTCCTGATTAGAGCGCCAGCTCTTCCACCTGGCCTCTGGAGATAGGGGTGCCACCCCAGGCTTTGACAAGCAGAACCTGGTCTCAGTGGAAGAGTGCACTTCATTTGGTGTTTCTGGGATCTCAGTAAGCTAGGGTGGAAAGCAGGGAGCCATGGACTGGACTGGTCTGGTCTGAGCCTGAACCTGTCTAGCTTTTCATCAAGGGATTGTTACTCCCAGCCTTCTAAGGACTGAAGAGAGGGCCAAGGAGGCGGGTGGGGGCTGCCTACCCTCTAGATGCCGCTCACTCCTGAGGATAAACAAGCGAAGGCACAAGCCTGTCCCTTTCCCTGGGGGCTTTGCCCACAAGCCTCAGTTTAGCCCTGAGGATCCGCGGGTCTCCGCCGCTGGGCGCGAGCGCCCCCTCCTGCACCGCGCGCGCCGGGGCAACAAGTGCCGGCGGAGCCTCTGCTCGCGAGGTCGCCTCCAGCCTCCTTCTCTTCGGGCTTGGCGGGGACCTTGGAACCCAGAGAAAATGCAGGAGGCCAGGCGGGCTGCGGCTGAAGCCGGCGACGGCGGCGCACACACTGGGTCCTTTGCGCAGCCCCCGTCTCCCTCCTTGGTCTCCGCGCGCCCCGCTCCGTCGGGGCGGGCAGTGTGAGGGGTCTGCGCCCCCGCTCGCTCTCGGCCGCCCGGCCGTCTTCTCCGCTCCGCGCCTCGGCTGAGCTCTGGCGCGCGGGACGGAGCGGGAGGCCGGCGGCAGGTGAGTGGCGGCTCCGCGGCGGGCGGGGCGCAGGGAGGCGGGTCTGCACGGCGTCTCCTCCCCCTGCGTGACGCGGCCGGCTCCCGGGGAGGACGGGCCCAGCTCCACGCTCGCCGGGGCTTCCCGGGCTGGAGCGCGCCTGAGAGCCTCCGCGCCGGGCATGGGGAGCCGCTTCCCGGGCGGCTGCGGCACGGAGGATGCTCCGGGCGAGCCGAGGTGAGGCGCGGCGGGGGTGCGGGCAGAGTCCCCCGCCGGGGCGGCGAGGGCTAGGGACTGTCTCTGAGGAGTTGGGCTCGGGGTGCTGCGGGTGGCGACTGCTGCAGTTTCCGCTCGGTCCCCCCCCCACTTGCTGGGAGGAAAGGGGAGACCTTTGCTTCTCCCCGATGGGTTCCCCATCTCCTCTCCCTACTTCTGACCGCGTGCGATCCCTTCTCCCCACTCACCTACCAGAGCCGCTCAGCGCCGGGACCCTCCCCCCTCCTGCCTGCGGCCGGGCTCCCTACCCCGTCCACTCCACACTGCCCCGTGCGCCCCAGACCACCTACCCGCCTCGCTGGCGGGGCCGGGGCAAGACCCGCTTCCCACTCCCCGGCCGCGCTGCGCCCCTGCCGAGATCTCCCCAGGAGCCGATCCGTCCCAGGGACCCCAGACCCTCGCGGACACCGTCAGAGGCGTTGTCGCGCTCCTCGGACCCCAGCCCTCCTTCGGCCCTTCCGCACCCCAGCCTTGGGCCCGCAGCACCCCGCACCCCCCCCCCCGGGCAAAGGGGACGCCCCAGTGCATTCTCCGCTTCCCAGAGCTCATGGGTTTTTTTCCTACTGGGGAAACTTTAAGTCCCTGTGGTTTGGCTTCTTGAGGGGACCGAAACGGGGGTCTCCTCCGCCGGGAGAACTGGCGTCAGTATCCGAGGAAGGGGCCGTGTCACCTCGCCGGGAAGGGGCTCTGGATACGCGTGCGAAGTGCGTTTCCAAACGTGTCTTTCCCGGCCGCGTCCGGTGGAGCAGGATTGTGACCCCTGGTGGGAGGGCGCGTCTTTCCTTTGCACTTTTTCTTTCACCTTTTTTTTTTCTTTTGGTAGCGCTGGTGGGCCGGGCGGGGGCGATGGGGCCGAGGGACAGCCGCTGCCCAACGAGGCCGACGCCACGGGCCGCTCCGTGGCCTCTCCCGGCCTCCCAGACCGCGTTCGCCCCGCTCCGTGGGAAGTCTCCCTAGCCCCCGCGGCGTCACACAAGTCCTCATTGTCGGGGGTCTGCGGGGGCGCTTCCGCCCGCCGGGCCGGACCGGGGCGGGCCGCGCGGGGGCGGAGTGGAGAGCCCCGGGCGTGCCGCCGAGCTGGGTGCGCGCTTGCTTGCGGGGGCCGGGCTCGCCTGCTTGGGGCTCTGGCGGCCGGAGGCAGCGTTCGAGTTCCGGGCGGCTAGTCGGAGGCTGAAGCTGCGGCGTCTCCCCTACGCGGGCGCGGGCCGGGAAGCGCCCTCCCACGCTGCGCCCTCTCCCGCTCACGTCCTGCTGGCCCGCGAGACGCACTTCGCGGTGTGGTTGGTTTTGAAAACAGGCCTTGCGGGGGTTCCGCTGACGCTTCACAATACTTAATTTGTTTTCTGGTAATCATATCAATTAAAGGTGGCTTGCATTTGGAACCCCCAATTATCCGGTTCAGGTTTGTACATTTATGTGCCAATTACAGGTATTCAGGAAACCCCTAAGCATCCCCACCCCCTGAATTAGCACCCATTGTTTTTATGATCTCGGTAATGGGCGACCTGGAAGGAACCCTGAATGGTACAGGCTACCGGAGTGAGGAGAGGTTTGGTGGAGTGCCAGCGCGCCCCCCTGCCCGGCTCCTTTGCTCGGTCCTGACTGGGCTGGGTGACAGTTCTGCAAACTGAAAGGGATCTGAGATTTTCCTGATTTCCCATTGAGAAGGGCGACCTAATCAAAGCTGTATAAAAGTCAACTTCTAAGCAATCAGAAATTGTCTGCGGATGTCCTTGATTGAAAGAAACCCGAGCATTCAAATGGAGTATTGAAGAACTCGCAGAAAAGGCTTTTGAAGCGCTATTGTTCTTTTCCACACACAGAGGCCCTCTTAAAGGTTTAGGAAGTTCAAAATGCAGTGATTTGAAAGGGCTGCCCTGTCACTATTTGGCAACCCTGGCGGGATCTGTGGGGATGAAGGAGAGAGGCCAAGGTAGGAAGTGCAAACGTGGTTACCTCTTCTTGGGCCCGCTGCCGCTCTCCAGCGGGGATGCAGTTCTAGACATCAACTTGGCAATGAAGTCCCTTCCTAAAACAGATTCAGAGAATGATTTTGTAGTAGGGTTCTTATTTTGATGGTTTGCTTAAGGTCTGAATAGGCATATCTGAAACATTTAATCATGTGCATTGTATTCAACAATAAAATCAGAATAAAAATTACCTATTGTTGATGAAGCTATCTCACAAGCTGTTTCCCAGGATGGCTCATTTGCAAGATGCACCATTGTGTGAGGGTAGAAGGGAGGGGATTGTATCACTTATTGTTCTTTTCCTCCTCCCAGAGCCAGAGAAGAATATGCTTCTTTGCTCCCCTTTCCCCTCCAAAGTAATTTTTCTGAGATGGGTGGGTGTTTGGGTTGGTACCGGATAGTATCCATCTAAAAATTGCGTTTGGTGGATTTCCCAGGCTCGGAGCCATCCTACGGGCAGATGAGGAATCTATTTGAGGCAGCATTTCATTTTGATAATTTACTCAAGTCAAACATTTTGTTTTTGCTGGGATTTAATCCTCCTCTCAAACTAATAAAGCAAACAAAGCAAGAAAATCACGTTTGGGTCTTTTAGATGGCACTTTAAAAATAGCACACATTAAAGGGTGTTGTCAGGAACTGTAAGTGTTATTTAGAACTCACGGCTACAGAGTGTTCACTAGTTAAGCAAGTGAGGATAAATTACTTCTCAACCTCAGGCTCATCACCTGCAAAACAGGCACAATTACTATCACCTGTGGGCCTTTGGTGATTTCATAGTGAAAATCCGATCATTGAGTGCTTGGGCACATAGGAGGATTTCAAGAGAATGCTAACTTTTAGTGGTAAGAATTCTGTTAAAGTGGATAACATTTGGAATTTGAAGGCCAGGACTAAATCCAAGTACTGTCTTTGTGATGTTTGGCAAATCACCTCTCATATTAATAAAAATAATAATAAACATATGGAATACTGAATGTCAGGTACTCTTCTAATCACTTTAGACACATTCATCTTTAAATAACCCTAGTAAGCAGACATTTGCATTCCCACTGATAAGGGATGTGGAGCCCAGGGAGTTTTGGCAGTTGGGTATTTATATTGCTTAGCAAATAACACCTGGAACCAGGATTTAAACCCACCCATTCTGGTTCCAGGGTCCCCCCGACCACACAGTGTGCCACCTCTAAAGGAGGAGGTGATCCTAGCTGTCTCTATGTTGAAAAGGGAGAAAAATGAAATAGACTTCTATAGAAGCAAGCCACAGACGTTTCCCACATCATATGCTAACAACACACCATGCTTGATTGCTCACAGGGCATGGTGCTGATAGTAGGCAGGCATGTGGGATACTCGGGACTCTGTGACAGTGTCCAGCAGGTAATGGTTGGTCTCAGTTCACATCTGTCTATGCATCTGTGGAAATATTTATTAACTAGGTAACTAATTGTAAATAACTGATTATGCAATTAATTAGTAATACACAGACTGTTAACTGGTATTACTGTGATCAGTTACTAGCTGAGGTAAGCAGAAATTCTCACGGTAAAAGGCAGCCTAGCAGGTGGTAAGAAGTTTGACCTGGGCTACTTGATCACTGGGCTTCAGACTTCAGCTCCCTGGGCCTGGCAAGCTCTGTGGTCACAGCCAGCTCATCTAACTTCTCTGCCTTTCATTTTCTATATAATAAAGTGACAATGCCTACCTCATAGGATTGTTGCTCAGTTTATGAGAATTAATACAAAGTGCTTAGAGCAGTACCTAGCATGCGGTATGTAATGTTCCTTTGCTATTAATATATTATCATCAACTGAGATAAATGTCGTTCCCCATAGTAATAGGAAGGGTTATTTGTTCTTTTTGTGTTTGTTTTCTAACCAGGGATTAGAGAGCAAAAGAGAGGGCTGAGGGTTTCAGGAAAGTATTTTCTTTTGTTCTCTTTTATTGGAAATATTTTCTTGAACATTGCCACTTTGTGCAAAGGAGTTGGGGTAGTACACATCATGCTCAAATCTCCATGTCATTGTCTTTTCCAGCAATTATTTCAAGGAAAATAAAATGACTTTGATGGATTGAATTCCAGAGGTAGAATGGTAAACTTTCCCAATTTACAGATTGGAAAAACGAATCAGGCTTAGGGAGGTGCATAGCTCACATTTGAGCAGCCCCACCGCAACCCTGAATTCTTGGACTCCCTTTCCAGTGCTGCTCCCATGAGACCAGGTGGTCGCCTATACCAGGATAGAAAAGTGGCTTGAAAATATAAATACAGCTTGGCGGGGAAGGTGTTGTCGGGCTAAGAGCATGAGCCAGCCAGACATTGTGTACTAAGGAGTGTCAGTAGGAAATGCAGATTTAGGTCCTTGCAAACCTGCACTGCACTCTGTCAATGAAATGCGTGCCAGGGTCTGAATTTGTGTACACACAAAGAAAACAGACAGCCTATTATGCCAATTAATCACCTGAACATCTCCCCGAGGTTGCAGAGCCAAGGTTTAGGTTTCTTTCTCTGTGACATTCTCTTTGTATTGTTCTTCCATTTAGTCCTGATAGGGGAAGGTTTTGGTTCAGGAATCATAAAACTCCTCTGGCTTCTGTTTCATGAAATATGCAGCATATTCTATTGGAAATAAATTGCCAGCTTGCTTTTATTATTTTATTTTATTTGAACCTGACATACAACCAATCTACAGTGCCAGTGGGGGAGTCTCATAAAAAGAGGAAAATAGAAGTAAAATTCTGCTGAATAGAAAGCTTATAGCTAACGTGATGGAAGTTTAGGGATGTGAAGATGGACAGCTTAGCTTAGGGGATAAAAATGAGGGTTGGGCCCTCAGAAGGCTGAAACTAGTGCAGAGTGAGCTCAAGTAGGCAGCGCTGATCACCTCGGTGAGTCTCACACTGTGGTCCAGCCTGCGTACCGAGTTCTGCTTGTCTCTGCAGGCCAGTCTCTGTTGCTCAGTTAGTTCATGATCAGTTGGTGACTATCCA